CAAAATGAACACAGGTGTCTAAATTCTAGTCATGCTTCCTTTGGGTACGCAAAGCTGAAGTGAAAACTGCTCATCAGTGAGCCCTGGATGCACCTTCATTCAGCAGTTCTCCCCGCTCTGCCAGAGAGGAGGCAAGGCCTGAGGAACGTGTGGGAGACGTCCTCCGAGCTGGGGCTGGACCGTCGCTCTCCAGGTGCTTGGCGTACCTGCTCAGCTGTGCTGTGGCTGCCCCAGTGCACCGGAGTGGCTTTTATGCCATGAAGGATGTCAACTCTCTCATCCTCAGCTCCTTTAGGGATCCTAAGGGATGTTTGAATCCTCTTGAGTAGAACAGAGACTGGAACACAGCTGCCCTGTAGTCTAAGCAGGTATTTTAACACCATTACAGAAAAAGAGGTAGCCCTATTCCTCTTAGAACTGGGGTGGGGGTGGGGGAAGATTTTTAGTAAGTCATTTTTCTTCAGTAAGGTTGGCTGTTGAATTTTGCTCAGAAAAGAGTTGTAGCTTCTGGATTCTCAGGTATTTCTTCATATATATCTCTGGTACCCTCACAGAGGTATGGGTTTTAACATTTATTTATAGCAACATTAATGTTAAGAAACATTAATTTTGATGAATTTTCATTTGCTTTTGTGAATCTTGTTTTGAAGCCCTGAAGCACTTCTAAAGCATTTTAGAGAAAGTATCTTTTTTTTTTTTTTTTTTTTTTTTTTTTGTCCGACCTTCTGGATTCCACTTGTGATCACATACATGAATTGAGCTTGCACGTTAAAATCATTAACAGCTCAAGTAGAACTTAACATTCCTCAATCTGAAGTCTTAATTCCCAAAGTGGTTTGTGCTACTTTCTGAACATGTGACCTTTGGAAGTGCTGATAAGTGCTCATCCATAGACCTAGGTCTAAGAACTTTGACCTATGTAAGAAGAATTTCATATCCATGTATATTAGCTTCTCTTTCAGTGCCACCTAAAACTGCCATTTTAAAAGGTTTGGGATTAACGTCGTTACAACATCAATGTAAAAACAATTCTGTTAATGTTGCAATTGAATGACAGCAGTGTACTTGTATTCTCTACTGTCTAGAGCAGACTTTCCTTAAAATTACTTTGTACTAAGACAATATTTCTGATCTGTGATCAGATTTTTTTTATTTAATTGGAAAGGATGTCTAGATAAATAGTGCTAATGTGAAAAAAGGAATTTAGAATTGTAGCTTGAAAGGGTTTTTTTTTTCCTCTGTCCTTTTTTTTTTCCCCTCATTTGTATTGTGCTAATGAGTTTGGAATTTAAAGGTCAGTGTAAAGCGGTCGGTGTGCTGGCTTGAGGGCGCCCCTACAATTTTAATACTGTTCAGGAGGCGCACACAAAGAGCAGTCCTGCCTGGCTGCGGGAGTGACTGCTTTGCAAAGTGCAGGTGCTGAGGAACAAATACCAGCAGCCTGGGAGCTTGTTGTGGCCTAATGATATCCTGCAGGTACATAAATGCCAAGGCAAACCAGCCATGCTTATTTTCAAGCTATGCTAAATTGATTTTTGTGGTAATTTCAAACTTTAACCAATTATATAGAATACCTTGTGCCAGTGTTTGTTTTTGTCCTCCTACTGTGTAACAGTTTCACTGTAGTAACTTCTTCATTTTAGTGGAAATAATATTTGCCTGGGAAGACATAAGTTTGTGTGTAATTACAAAGTATATGGTAGTGAAATGCAATCTATGAGCTCTACTGTGGGTATTTTTTTTTTGCCATGGTTTATTCAATTTTCTTTAAATCCAGCGTTAAACAGTCTCAGAATTACCTAATACTAATATTTTGTTTGTTTTGGCGTGAGGCAGAGTGTTGAGAGACACTTGCAGGCTATCAGGGGACTAGCATTCTGCCATGGGTCACGGGTATAATCTTTAACCTAAGAAAAGACATTAAAGTTTGAGATAGTTTCAGGAAGGATCATCTCATTGTTGCAATACAGAAGTAAAATGAAAATTGTACAAATTTTATTTAGCTGTTGGGACACACAGAAAATAAGCTTAGAAAGCATTATTTTCTTCTTTTAATAATCTGATGTTAGCCATAAAATTACCCAAATCAATCCTGTTATTTTTTTTTCTTCTCCCCTTCAATTTCAGTATATCTATTTCTCAGAGAATAATAAATTTGATATTGGATTATATAAAATTGTTAGGCTTGTCATCAGATTCTTTTTGAAGTATCTTTGCAGGAGGGAAGAGAGAACTTAAACTAAATCCACTGTTTCACTGTTGTGAACTTTTCTGATGTACGACTGAAGTGTTGGGCAGGGACAACCACTAGCTGGGCCTCAGTTAGTCCTTAACATGCCTTAACTAGTACTATGTTGAAGGAATTCCCTTAACTCTTTATTTTTTCTTTTCTGATGACATAATGACTTTTTTTCCCCTGCCCCTCAAACTAACTTTGTGTCAGCTCTTCCCCCATGACACCATAGAATGAAAAATAATGAAACAGATTTTCAACTTGCTTGATATTTTCTCTTTCTTCTGTCAATGCTTTCTCTTGCCTAGTGCATCGAGGAAGCGAGTAAATTGGTTTCTTAAATTACACCCATTTTGCTTTTTCAGAGATAAAAAGTCCCATTTTGTCCTTTTTATAGTGCTGGAATTAGGCTGTGGAAAGATAACAGTGATGGCGCTGAACGATGAATTTATAGTTCTCTTCTGAGAAATATTTTTGTTTATTTTTTTGCTCTTCTCCTTCTGTCCATGTGTTGTATGGCCCATATGCCATAATGTCATTTTGTTCATTAAAATTAATGTGTGTGGGAAAAACAGGATTTAGTACAAGTTTACTATAAACTCCAAATTTGAATATACTGGGATTGTAACATATCTCATACAGAGGTTACTCTAATAACGTTCTTACAAATTTGACTAATTTTCTTCCTAGAACTTCAACTGATTACCAGTTTTGAGGTACACAAAAATGCTTATAGAGAGATACCTGTGAAAAATCAGGTGTGGTGCCTACTCAGTACCAAATAGTTCTAGCTTCTTTTATCAGTGAAGTATGTGAATGTCTGTAAAATAAACATGTCATATAACTGAGGAAGCTTCACGTGTGCAAACACAGGGTGCTTCATGCTGCTAGTCTCTCAGGAACCAGGAGTGGACATTCCCAGGCACCTACAGGCCAGTGAGCCTGGTCGGCATCCCCAGAAAAGTGATGGAACGGCTCATACTGGCCGTTGTCTCCAGGCACATGGAGGACAAGAAGGTGCTCAAGAGTAGTCAGCATGGATTCACCAAGGGGAAATCTTGCTTGACTAACCTGATAGCCTTCTATGATGGAATAACCAGCTGGATAGACGAGGGGAGAGCAGTGGATGTCGTCTTATCTTGACTTCACCAAGGCTTTTGACACCATCCCTCACAGCATCCTCCTGGGCAAGCTCCCGAAGCGTGGGATAGATGAGTGCACAGTGAGGTGGATTAGGAACTGGCTGGATGGCAGAGCTCAGAGGGTGGTGATCAGCGGTGCAGAGGCCTCTAGGTTGGAGGCCTGTAGCTAGCGGGGTCCCCCAGGGGTCAGTCCTTGGTCCAGTCCTGTTCAATTTATTCATCAATGACCTGGATGAAGGCACAGAGTGCTCCCTCAGCAAGTTTGCTGATGATACCAAACTGGGAGGAG